ACATCAGCAGTCTTTCTCAAATTTTTGTGGGCCGTGCCTTTGGATATTTGAGTGGCTCTGTGATTGGTGGATTACTTTTTGATAGTGTAAATCATTTTTTACTTTTGGGTAAGTAAACGCTAATTTTCACTTCTTTGTGATTTTCAGTGAATTCAGTTTGTCTTTAAAGATGAAAACTACTATCTCTAGGCCACTGAAATGGGTAGTGTTTGGGTGGGAATTTGTGTTTCCCTGGTGCCTGTTCCCGCCCTGGCAATTACAGAGAAGCTGTGTTGGGCCCTCTGGAAATGAAGATAAGCCGCAGGATGTGCTAAATCCTTAGCACTGTAATTGAAGCGCTACTCCAGGGTCACCCACTGGTTATGCAAAAAAAAGCTCTGCTTACCAGGGTGTCGGCAGAGGTCAGAATAAGCTCCGTGAACCTGCCCAGGTGGCCACTGGATAGTGAGGGAGGGGTGGAGGAACTCACACAGTGTTGACTCCAGACTGCCCTCCCTCTTCCTGCAAATGGGAGATGGCAAAGCTACTAGCATTCTCTCTACTGAATAAATTGACAGGCTTAATGAAAATGTAGGTTAATGGGATAGAATTCATTTGGAAGTAAAGAGAATAGTTTATTGTTAGTGAATGAATACAACAATCCCTCTTATTTCCAACATAGATTGAAAGAATACATTTTTTGTATTTCTGTAATCCCCAAAGTAATATATCTATGAAAGTTTACGAATTTCATCTTACTTTTGATATTTTACCTGAAATCTAAAAAAATATATCTTTAGGCTCTCACATATGAAACATTTAAATAAATAATGATTTTGCTATAAAACTTTGCCTTGTATAATTTATAGCTCAATTATTAGCAATGCTAGAAATATGTTCCTGTTACAGTGATTTCTATTTTATAGGCCATAAAGATTGTCAGAGATTTAAATGGAATCACCACATATAGACGCTGCAGGTCTCATCTCCTCTCTTACTCATTTTAACTTGTCCTTGTTGGAAGTTTTTATGATGCTGACTGTGACCACAGGTCCTTGGGCCTTGTGCCCGCATGGGAGACCAGGAGGAAGTACCTGGCTCCTGGCTTCGGATCGGCGCAGTGCGCCAGCCGTGGTGGCCACTTGGGGGGTGAACCGGCAGAAAAAGGAGGACCTTTCTCTCTGTCTCTCTCTCTCTTTCACTGTCTAACTCTGCCTGTCAAAAAATAAAAATTAAAAAAATTAAAAATTAAAAAAACAAAGGAATATTGTCTTCAGTGGCTGACTCTCACCTTTCTTCTCAGGGGTGTCAACGCTGGTTACCACAGTAGGTCTTTACCTTGTTCCATTTTGCAAGACAGCTGTATTACTGATCATCGTGATGTCTGTCTTTGGTGTTTCCTTTGGCATTTTGGATACAGGTCAGTAAGCCCTACAGTACCATCCCTGGGAGTAGGAACTTTCTACTGTATTAAACTGTCACTTGCCTTGCTTCCCAGAGTGACAGAGATCTACTGGGATGGTGCCACCCAGTCAGAATCACCCTTCGGGCAACTTTTCTTCTTGCTAATTAGGGGCCCTAGTTTTGAGCAGCCAACCATGAAGCGAGCTTAAGGAATTTTGTTTTAGGAAAGAGTGTTGATTTACAACCTGCAAACAGGGCACAGTCCTCTGTGTGTGGGTAATGACACTGCAGGTGAACAGGATGAAACTTTATCATTGCAGAGTAGAAGAGATTGATGGTTTCATAGGTTAAACCACGTCTGGAACCATTATTTTGGTGAGAAAGCATACAGGCTGCCACCCATTATAAAATGCACTGCGTTTTTCCAGCTAAGGGAAACCCCTGCTGTGCACTACCTTCCTTCTCTCTTCTGTTCTTTTCTCTCAAAAGTTCCTTCCCTCCTTCCAGAGGTCCTCTCCATTTTATCATTGTGAAATGTATTAAAGAAAGTATGTGACTTTGGTTTGCCCCTAAATCCAGCTTTCTATCCACCCTCCCCTGATTTAATTTTACTTCATAGATCCAGAAAACATTTTCTACTTCAAGCTAAGTTTGCTTGTGAAAATACAGGGAACAATTAGGTGGGTGTCTGAAATTATCTTTTAATGAAAAACACCCTTCAAAGCTCGATAGTCTTGGCCTACATCTTGTAGCTGATCAGGCGGAGTTAAGTGCAGATGGTGAATAGTGTCTTGTGTTCTGTAGAGGACACACAGAAAGCTGGAGTATTCTAAATGCGTGTTCTGCATCTACTGTTTACACAAATACATAATATTCCTTAGGTGGGTACTGACGGCACATGCAGGAGCTTTGACAATGAGGCCACTATCTGCTGGGACATTTTTGCCTGTTAAGTATATAATTTTTGGTTTAGCAGTTGGGATGCCTGTGTCCCATGCCTGGGGGCCTGCATTTGAACCCAGCTCTGGCTCCTGCTTGCATCTTCTGTTGATGCAGACCCTGGGAGGCACAGGTGATGCCTGGGCTAACTGGGTTCCTGCCACTCGAATGAGGGACGTGGACTGAGTCTTCTGGTTCCCTCCTAAGCTTTATTGTTATTGCAGGCATGTGGTGAGAGGCCAGCAGATGGGACCTCTCCCTTTCTCTATTGTCATTCTTTCTCTCTGCTCTTCAAGTAAATACTTAAAATGAACACGTCTACTTGAAATACGAATGAGTAACTATGTGAGGATCCCTGCCTCAGTCTGTGATAGAACTGTAGTCCGAGAGGCGGCAGTTTAAATTGCCCCGCAGGTTCCACCTGGGAGCATGTGACGTTATGGCGCTGAATTCCCTGGAGGTGGTGGCTAAGAATTCTGGAATCATAGAAGTCACTTTGGGGGCCAGTGTTGTTGCATAGTGGGTTAAGCCGCTGCCTGAACTCCAGCATCCTATAAGAGTGCGGGTTCAAGTCCTGGCTTGAATCTGGCTCCTTGCTGATGTGCTGGGGAAAGCAGCAGAAGATGGCACAAAACCTGCGTCTTTGCCACCTTTATGGTAGACCTGGATGAAGCTCCTGGCTCCTGGCTATGGCTTGGCCCAGTCCTGCCTGGCTGTTGTAGCCATTCGGAGAGTGAATCAGCAGATAGAGGAGATCTCTCTTTCTCTCTCTCTCTCTGTCTCTCTCTCTGTGTCTCTCTCAAACTCTGCCATTGAAGGAGAGAAAAAAAGGAAGGAAAGAAGGAAGGAAGGAAAGAGGTAAGAAAGCAAGCAGCCAACCATTCTGTTGCCATGTTTGATAACAGAACACTGTAGGGTTTGTGCCGTGAGACATAGATTCAATCCTTTTCTGCAATGAATTATGTGTTCCCTAAGTTACTGGGTTTAACTTAGATCATTTTCCCTGTTTTTCATTGGTAGGTGGTAATGTGCTTATCTTGGCTCTCTGGGGAGACAAAGGAGCCCCCCATTTGCAGGCCTTACACTTCAGTTTTGCCTTGGGTGCCTTTTTGGCTCCCCTGCTGGCTAAATTGGCCCTGGGTACGACAGAGCCTGCTGGGAACCACACGGAGCCTGACCCTCTCCACCCCGCCCTCAACCAGTCAGCTGAGGCAGACTCGGGACCTGTGTTTGGAGCCCCTGAGGACATGAATTTACTGTGGGCTTATGCTGTCATCGGGACTTACGTTTTCATAGTGTCTTCCTTTCTGTTTGTGCTGTTTTTCAAGAAAAGCTCAAGAGGGCCCAAAGCAAAAATGTCTGCTCAGACCTTTCGAAGGGCGAAATACCACCGCGCCCTTCTCTGCCTCCTTTTTGTGTTCTTCTTTTTTTATGTTGGCGCCGAGGTCACCTATGGCTCTTACGTGTTCTCGTTTGCCACCACCCATGTGGGCATGGAAGAGAGCGAGGCGGCCGGGCTGAACTCCATCTTCTGGGCCACGTTCGCAGCCTGCAGGGGCCTGGCCATCCTTTTTGCGACATGTTTACAGCCCGGCACCATGATTGTGTTGAGCAACGTTGGCAGCCTGGCGTCGTCTTTCTTCCTGGTGCTTTTTGACAAGAGCCCGGTTTGCCTCTGGGTTGCCACCTCGGTGTATGGGGCATCGATGGCAACCACGTTTCCCAGTGGCGTGTCCTGGATCGAGCAGTACACGACCATCCACGGGAAATCAGCAGCCTTCTTTGTAGTTGGTGGTACCTTGGGAGAAATGGCTATTCCTGCAGCAGTTGGACTTCTTCAAGGAAAATACCCTGATTTGCCCGTCATTCTGTATACGTGTTTGGGGTCAGCCGTATTCACTGTTATTTTATTCCCTGTGATGTATAAATTAGCCACCTGGCCTCTTGCTCACCAGCACAAAGCAAACAGAAAGAGCGAGGACCAGAGAGCTTATTCTTTACTTCTGGCTGGACTATGAAGAAGAGGACGAAGACGAAGATGCAGAAGAGTGGAATGAGATGGATTTTGAAGTGGTTGAAATGCAGGATCCATTGAGGCCCTCTGTGACGGCCATCTAGCAGTTCTCTGATGGAGCCCACCTTGGAAGTGTCTGACCAGCGTCTGGCTAATGCAGTGGTGTAGGAGTGCTCTCTGCTCCAGACTGGCAGTTCCTTTGTGGAGTTCTCGCCAGGGACCAGAGCAGAGGGGACCAGCACTGAGCGGAGAGGGCTCCTTTATTGGCGCCCTTGGTGATCACCGCTTGAAGGGGCCAGGCAGAGCCGAGCATCGCAGTTGTCAGCCTGCTTTGGGCAGCAACCGCTCTAGGTCTCTTCATAGCAAACGCCAGCAAGTGTTGACATGTCCGCTGCTCCCAGATTCTTCCCTAAGTAGCCCAGGGGTCTCCCACAGCAGGAGCTGTATGAGGCTAGTGTTTGGCATGTAACTGACTAGGTCCTGTTTTCTGGTCTTCACCCCTTTAGAGCATGCAAAGAAGTCACTTGTTTTTGAGAAGCTGGGTAATGTTCTGGTGGGACAAAATCCTTAGAAGTGGAGTTGATTTGCTGAACAAATTAGCAGGCATCAAAATAGTGCCAGGGAAGTTGGGGAAAGTAAATGGACAATTTTATTAATTACTTACTTTGCCTTATCTAGGCTGAGTCAAAGAATGCTAATGACTCTTGTGTGTTTTGATTTCCAAGAACAGAACACAGCACAGGGCTTTCAGTTCATCTCTTGGACTTTGTGATTCTAGAAATGAAAAGGATGATTTTCACATTAGGAATCCATCAGTTTTTTTTTGATTTAACAATTTTAATCCATTCAGCCAGTCTATATCTTTTTTTTTATTTAATAAATGTGAATTTACAAAGTGCAACTTTTGTATTGTGGCTTCCCCCCAACCTCCCCCCCTCCCGCGGCCCTCCCCTCTCCCACTCCCTCTCCCATCCCGCCCTTCATAGAATTTCATTTTCAATTACCTTCATATACAGAAGATCAACTTAGTATACACTAAGCAAGGAAGGAATCCATCAATTTTAACATTTATGAAAGGTGTCTTCTAATAATTAGGACGAGGCTACTTCAAAACTTTGGAAGTGGAATTACAAGAGTCATTTATTTTGGTGCAAAAATTTGAAGCTCATGCATAGCATTTTCATAACACTGTTTCCATGAGCTCTGTGAAGACCTCTCATATAAGTACCTGATGCTCTTCATTTCAAATGAGAACTGAAACAAAATTATAAATAGCTTTAAGAAAGTAGTACTGATTATGAATACAGCACAGGACTTGAGACCCAGCTGCAAACCATGATTTTGCCTCTGTGTCTGTATTTAGTTATGGCGAAGGCATCATTTACTTCATCCTCTGATTTGTATAATTTCTGAATGAAAAATTATTTTCAATTTGGAAATCCATCAGTATGATTGTCTCCTAGTAATTAAAATGAGGCTACTTCAAAATTTGTGGAAATGGAATTAAAAATTATTTTGGCATAAAGATGTTTCAAGCTTGAATAGCTTTTTCATAATAGTCACTCCCAATGAACTCTTTGAAGACCCCTCATATAAGTGCCAGCCTGTTCTTCATTTCAAATGAGACGTGAAACAAAAATGGTATATTTAGAAATATACTACTGATTATAAATACTTATCAATTTAACATATTTAATGCTTAATATGTTATTTGAGTAATATTCTGAAGAATGCATTTTTTAGTACTACATTTCAGTGATTCTAAGATATGCTTTTTCCATACTAACCATCTCTGCAATCAAGATATATCTCATTTTCAGCACTGCTGTTCAATATAGTTCTGGAAGCTTTAGCCAGAGCCATTAGGCAAGAAAAAGAAATAAAAGGGATACAAATTGGAAAAGAGAAGGCCAAATTATCCCCGTTTGCAGATGACATGATCCTATACAGAGAGGAACCAAAAGATCACTAAGAGACTATTGGAACTCATAAGAGGGTTTGGTAAAGCTGCAGGATAGAAAATCAACACACAAAAATCAATAGTCTTTGCACACACAAACAGTGCCATGGCTGAGAAAGAACTTCTTGAGAGTGGGCGCCTCTGCACTCTACTCCCAGTGCACTGAGTGCAGAGGCTCATAACCAACAGAGAGGTTCCTGTGTCTGCTGTTGCCAGGGCAGGGCTGGGCCCGGCACAGAGAGATGCCTGAGCGCGTGCCGACTGTCAGGCCCTGGAACTGGAGGCCTGACTCATCCTTTCAATCACTGGAAATCACATCACATAACCGACTTTTTAGCAAGAGCCTACCACACAGGGCTGGGGGGAAGAAAAGCTCCATCCTAATGGGGTAGCATTTCTACCTACGTGACCTAGAGGCTCTTGACATGAGCTGCCTAGGCTATAGAAACCCTTTGAGTCCACCTACTCTGTCAGTATTTAGACAAGGCCATAAGCAAAGTGGAAGTTCTCTCCTCCCTTTAGAGAAAAGTACTTCCTGCTTTGATGGCCACTTCTTCCCACTGTGTATTGTTAAAAGTTTGGTTTACTTGGGAGACAGAGTGGCAGATGAGCCCATCCACTGGTTCTCTCCACAAGTGCATGCAGCGGCTGCAGCGAGGCCAGAGGAAGCTGGAAACCAGGAACTCAATCCAAGTCTCCCATGCTGGTGGCAAGAACCCAATCACTGGAGCCCTCTGCTGCCTCCAGTGGTCTCAATTAGCCAGAAGCTGGAGTCAGGAGCTGAGCCAAGTATCAGCCACAAGTACTCTGATGTGGGATGCAGAGGTCTTCTCCAAATGCCTGTCCTAAGGTATTTCTGAAGGTGGGAAGGTTAAGGGGAGTGAAAGGACCATACTGTCCCTTGTCACATCTAAGCAGCTTTACTGAAAGGCACACCAGGTGTCCTTATCTGGCAGCTATCATCTCTGCTGTCGGTGGCCTTGAGTTTATAGTCGCGTACTCCACTCGGGGCTGGGATCCTCTCCTATCTTTGTCTCCAGCCAGGCCTTTTCTGGATTCTCCTGGAAAGCCTTGGCACAGGGAGGAGAGAAGAGGACTTCAAGCTGCCACCAGCATCTGCCTGTGTGACATCCAAGGGTCCCCCGTGCTTCCCACAAGGCAGCCGTGGCTGGGGCTCAGTTTGTCCTTCCACTGCTTCGTCTTCCCGGGTTTGGTGGGGCAGAGAGTGACCACACCGCTGCTGCTAACGGCTCCCTGGGCCTGCAGGGTGGGGAATACGCTGCGGTTCCTCAGGACACACTTGAGGCCTGGCTGTGGTTCCTCTGCTGTGGCCCAGAAGAAAAGTTCATGATGGTCTGGGGGGTGAAATGTTCCCATTTCCTCTCCCAGCAGCCATTTTACTCTGGGAGACTGCATGAAGGCAGCTCCTGGGCGGGGTGGTGCAAAGGCAGCTCTGGAATTTCTGCCTGGATTGGATTTTTTTTCCCTTGGTTCCTGTTTTCCTCCCTCCCTCCTTTCCTCCCTCCCTCCATCTGTCCCTCCTTTCTTTCCTTCCTTGCTTCATCTGTTTCTCTCTTAAAGATTCATTCATTTATTTGAAAGGAAGAGTTACAGAGAGAGGGAGAGAGGGAGAGAGAGCGAGCGAGCTTCCATCTGCTGGGTCACTCCCCAGATGGCCTCAAAGGCCAGAGCTGGGCCAGTCTGAAGTCAGAAGCAGGAGCTTCTTTCAGGACTCCAACTGGGTCCATGCTCCAAGCACTGGGCCATCATCTACTTTTCCAGGCACGTTAGCAGGAGCTGGATGGGAAGTGCAGCAGCCAGGAGGTGAACCAGCGCCCACAGGAGATGCCAGCATCACAGGCAGTGGCATATCCTGCTGCACCCCAGCGCCGGCCCCTGGATTTGATTTCCGACTCTACCTCCCAATACTCCCATAGTCTCATTACTTACTTCTCTGGGCCTTTTCTTTTCTGGAGTTATGAGTTAAATGAGATAATGCCACACAGCACTTAGCATATGTCCTTGTATTTATGAATATGAATTTTATCTCCCCCCGAAATGCCTGTATCGAAGTTCTAACTCTTTGTACTACAGAATGTGATTGGATTTGGAGATAGGGTCTTTAATGAGGCAATTCCACTACAATGAAGTCATCAGAGATGGCCCTAATTGGATATGACTGGTATCCTAAGTGGAAGACATGGGATGCAGAGAGGCACAGACAAGGTGGTCATACACAAGGCAGGGTGAGTGGCCTCAGGAGAATCCAGCTCAGGGTTGTCAGACACAATCTGACCTCCTGACCAAGGTGGGTAATTCAGCCCCCTCATTTGCTCTTGGTCCATTGTGATCTGGCTCCAGCCACCCTCCTGTCCACAGCAGCAACAACCGCGTGGCAATTTTTAACCCTTTAATCCACAGTTATGCATCAGGAGGTTGAGTGACGTCCACATGTAGGCGTTGTGCTCAGCTTGGGCCGCGCTGGGGAGCATAGCAGACCTCATGGTTTTAGAGTCTCATAGCAACCACCAATCAGAACATAGCAACCAATCAGAAGGACTGGTAAGGAACTCTGTTTTAACCTTATACAGAGGTAATTTTTAAAAAATGTTTAGTTATTTATTTGAAAGAGAGAAAGAGAGAAACAGAAGGAGAGATATCTTTGATCTGCATCTGCTGGTTCACTCCCCAGATGGCCACAAAAGCCAGGACTAAGTCAGGCTGAAGCCAGGAACTGCATCCATGTCTCCCAGGTAGGTGGCAGGGGCCCACACACTTGGGCCATCTTCTGCTGCTTTCCCAGGCACATTAGTGGGGAGCTGGATGGGAGCTAGAGCAGCTGGGATTCAAACTGGCAGCCCATATGGGGTTACAGGTAGCTTAATCCACTTGCCACACACTGGCTGCAAGGAACATAGCTTTTAAGGAACTAATATATTTTTATTTCTGGTGCCTCTTTCCTCGGTCCTTCTTCCTATAAAACAAAACTCCTTGGTGCATCTTACTCAAAATTTATAGAAATAACTGATTATCAGTTGTTAAAAGAGAAGGAAGTTAGGGCTTTAAATGAAATTTGCTGGGGCCAGTGCTGTGGCATAGTGGGCTAAGCCTCAGCCTGTGATGCTGGTATCCCATTATGGGTGCCGGCTGGAATCCTGGCTGCTCTACTTCAGATCCAACTCTGCTGGTGGGCTGGGAAAGCAGTGGAAGATGGCCCAAATCCTTGGGCCCCTGCACCCGTGTGGGAGACCCAGAAGAAGCTCCTGGCTCCTGGCTCCTGGCTTCGGATTGGCCCAGCTCCAGCTGCTGCAGCCATTTGGGGAGTGAATCAGCAAATGGAAGACCTTTCTCTCTCTCTCTCTCTCTCTCTCTCTCTCTCTCTCTCCCTTGTCTGTAACTCTCTCAAATAAATAAAAATCTTTTTTAAAAAAAAGAAATTTTCTGTAATTTTGACTTTTGACTGAAAGGAGTCAGATTTTAGAAATATCTACTGAATGAAATCATTAGGACTTGGCAATAACTTGAGAGAGAAAACAGGAGGCATCAAAACAGGATATCTACAGCCTTTAGGGCATTCTAGTCTGGCTAGAAAGCCCAGGGGGAGCATTTCAGGCATGGAAAGCCAAGACATTCTGGGAAAAAAATGTCCTACATAAAGGACCCCTGTGGGTGAGACCCCAGTGGGAAGAAGTGGCTACCAAAGAAGGATTTACCTCCCGCTGAAGGGAGGAGAGAACTTCCACTTCGCTTATGGCCTTGTCAAGCTAGTAGATCCATAGGGCTTTCATAGCCGAGGCAGCTCATGTCAAGAGTCTTGGGGGGCCAGCGCTGTGGCATAGTGGGTAAAGCTGCTGCCTGCAGTGCCAGCATCCCATATGTGCTCGAGTCCCAGCTGCTCCACTTCCAATCCAGCTCTCTGCTATGGCCTGGGAAAGCAGTAGAAGATGGCCCAAGTCCTTGGGCCCCTGCACCCGTGTAGGAGACCAGGAAGAAGCTCCTGGCTCCTGGCTTTGGATGAGTGCAGCTCTGGGTATTGTGGCCATCTGTGGAGTGAATCAGCAGATGGGAGCTCTTTCTCTCTCTCTCTCTCTGCCTCTCCTTCTCTCTCTGACTTTCAAATAAATAAATCACTGATGTCATCCATAAGAGTGTTATTTGTTAAATAAACAAGAGTCACTGTGCATTAACTTCCCATGCAGGACCTCTGTCCCCAAAAAGTTGTATCATGAGACTTCATAGTAAAACGTGTTCCCAAGAATCACTTCCTTTTAGTGTATTAAATGGAGGATATTCTTGTGTCTCATAGTTATAGTTATGTCTAAGAGCCCACAATAGATGCGGGCTTGGTTCTTTTTTAAAGACAGTTATGTTCTAAAATAAAGAAGGGGGAAGAAGGAAGGAAAAAGAGAAAGGGGGGGCAGAATCACCTTCTAGAAGCAATAACCTAGAACAGCCCTTGTGTAGGCCGCTGGGGCACAGTTCTCTTAGGTTTTTTAATTGCATTCTTTGTTTTTTTTTTTTTTTTTTTCCTTTCTGTTTCTTTTTCCTTTCTTGGACTAAACAGAAGGGAGGAGGAAGGGGAGGAGTGGGTGGGAAGGTGGGCATGGTGGGAAGAATTACTATGTTCCTAATGTTGTATTTATGAGATACACACAAATAAAAGTATATATGTAAATAAAAAGACAGGAAATCTGATTCCTCACAGAAATGAGGAAACAGGTGGTGGTGCCAGCATACCTTACCACCGAAGTGGGCTCAGGTGCATTGAGGAAAAAGAAGGGCTCACTTAAGGTGGTAAAGATGAATTATGGTGAATCATGGTAGTCCTACACTGTATCTTTGGTTTTTATGAAAGCTCAGTATGTCAATAGAAGTGAGTTCCTGAAGTTCAAACTCGTCTGTGTGGCACACGAAGCTCTTTAGAACTGAGATTTAACCTCTCTCTCCCATATCATTTCTGCTGTGCTTTATGTACCTCTTGTTTTAACCACTCCAAACTCTTCTCAAGGAGACCTACACTAACCCCCAAATCTAACATTTTCTTTAATTTTTTTTTTTGACAGGCAGAGTGGACAGTGAGAGAGAGAGACAGAGAGAAAGGTCTTCCTTTTGCCGTTGGTTCACCCTCCAATGGCCGCCGCGGCCGGCGCGCTGCGGCCGGCACACCGTGCTGATCCGATGGCTGGAGCCAGGAGCCAGGTGCTTTTCCTGGTCTCCCATGGGCTGCAGGGCCCAAGCACCTGGGCCATCCTCCACTGCACTCCCTGGCCACAGCAGAGGGCTGGCCTGGAAGAGGGGCAACCGGGACAGAATCCGGCGCCCCAACCGGGACTAGAACCCGGTGTGCCGGCGCCGCAAGGCGGAGGATTAGCCTAGTGAGCCGCGGCGCCGGCCTAACATTTTCTTAAGTCATAGCTTCTACCGTTCCCTTCATTGTACTTAGCACAATCATTAAAAATTTTTGTGCAATAATTTATAATAGTGGGCTAAAAACTTGATGAGGATAGGACTGTACCTAGGTTGCCAGGAAGGATGAACTAAGTTGGGCAGCCCGCGGGCCTCCGCGGATGGGGGCTACAGGGGTCAGGGGCACACGAGCATTTCAGGTGGACGGCAGAGAAAAGCTCTGGGGGCTCTGGTCAGCCTAGGGACAGAGCAAAGGGGAGCAGCAAGCTTTCCTGGGGGTCCCGCAAATGGACCCCGCGCTCCACGTGCTCACGGCAGGAGTATTTGCCATCAGTTCGCTGACTGAGCTTGGGCCTGTCGCTACTCCTCTATGACTTGACCTTCCGATAAACCCAGAGGGTTGTGAGGCCTGAGATGATGCGCGGGAGACAGAACGAGGGACCAATTCAGAACAGGTCTCCAAAAAGCAAGGGCAGGGATTTCAGCAAGTTGCCTAGGGATCAGACCTCGGCCTCCTCGCACGAGACCCGCGGAGGGGCCCCGGGCCCACCTCGCTATTCCTGGCCCGATTTCCTCCTGAGCGGGTGTGGCCTCTCCTTACCTCCTGGTTGCCCAGCGCCGGGCTGTAGGTCCAGCTGGCTCCGCCACGGGGCGCCCGTCTCCCGGCCTCCGTGAGCTCAGCGGATTGTGACCCGGAGGCCCGAGAACGGCGTCCGGTCGCCTAGACAACCACACCAACTTCCGGTTTACAGGCGGCTCTTTAGTTCCGCTACATGAGCCGCGCACGCGCCCTGTGAGCTGACGGGCGCGCGTTCGCTGTCCTCCTCAGCCGCGGGTTCTAAAGTTAGACTTTGCCGCCCGGACTCAGGGCAGCCCCCGGCAAGCTGGCCCCAGGAGGGACAGCCGCGCCTCGAGGGGCGGGCCGTGGGCTGGGCTCGGAGCTCCCAGGCCCCGCGGACAAGCCTGGCGGCCGCGAGACCCCTGCCCCCGAACCGCCAAAGCTGGACGTAGCACTGGAGCTCCGCGGCGCCCCTGCTGCCGGGCAGCAGCTCCTCCAGGCCGAGGCCCCGGCCCCGGCCGACCGGGAGCCGGCGGCGGCGGCGGCGGCGGCGGCGGGGTGCGGGCGCCGCGGCAGCCGGGCCGGGAGCGTGCTGCGCTGGTTCACCACCGTGGTCCTGTACGCCGCCTTCCTGGGGCTGGTGAGCGCTGGGGCTGGATCCTCCCAGGCCGGGGCGCGAGGACGTGCGCGCCTGGCCTCTGCCGCCGCCGACCTGACCTTGGGCGCGTTCTTTAATCAGCGCGGGTCTCAGTTTCGTCTTCTGGAAAATGGGCACAGCTCTAATCGTGGAGGGTTGTGGTCAAGTGCAAAGTTGATTTTCCCAGCTTTATCTAATCTTCGTACCTCTGTGGGAGGTGGGGTTGAGGGATTCCAGGGTGTTTAAGGCTCTGTGGTCTGCACCAACCACTCTTCCCCAGCTAACTCCCCAATTAGGACTCTGAAACGCTGTTTTTCTCGGATTTCCTCCTCTCCGTCACCTGTCGAAATTCTGTCAACCGCTGAATTTTGCATAGCGGGAAATAGGCCCAGAGACGAAAGTGACTCTGGGGATGGCACGGGTGGTAGAGGAGGAACATGTCTCTCACTCGGCCCACAGTCCCCTTTAAAACCAGCCTTCACATTCCCAATGGTTTTCTTGGAGCAGATGGCGAGGCTGGAAGCTTTTGCCTACCCCTTGGGCTGCCCTGTTTCCTCTTTGGGGAGCCGCCCTCTTAACGCTGGGGTTTGGGGAGCTGGGAGAGTGAGGGTCACTTAGCGTTGGCGGACCCCAGGCGCATTCCTTCTGTGAGTATTTTGTTAGGGGCAGATTGAGAAAGAGAAAAACGAGTTTGGAGGCTTGGCGAGCCTGGCCGGTGCCAGGTGCTGTGCTGAGTCCTCGCAGGGGTGAACCGCTCTGATGAGAGCCTGGGCTCAGCTGCTCTCGCTCCCTGTCCCCGCTGCCTGCTCTGGGCCTCCGCACCCCTTGTCTTTGGGCCGCTCCTGTTCCGGTAGAGTACACCGATGCGTTTAGAGCAGAGAAGTACAGTTTGAGTCCGTTATTTTTGAAATCTGGACTGCTTAGATACCCTTTTTCTGTAAGTGTCTAGTGAACTTCCTCTGAAAGCCAGCTGTAACCATAGTTCTTGCTAAGACTAGGTGTGTGATTAAGGTTTCATTGTTCAAGTTATTCTATAAATATATACAAGGGGACTTCCAAAAGCTCCCGGAAAATATAGTTGAGAGATGCTTATTTTCGAAATGCAAGAATATTTTTGAAATGCAAGCAAAGGTTTTTCAAAATATACTTTTACCATGAACTTTTAAAAATAAAGAATTATGTGTTTTTGGAAGGTAGAGTGGACAAGGAGAGAGGGAGAGACAGATCTTCCATCTGCTGTTCACTCCCCAAGTGGCTGCAAATGGCCATGGCTGGGCCAGGCTGAAGCTTGGAGCCCCTAAGTCCAACCCGGTCTCCCACATGGGTTCAGGGGCCCAAGTATCAGGGCCATCATCCACTGCCTCTCCAGGTGCATTAGCAGGGAGCTGGTTAGAAAGTGGAGCATACACGGAACTCACACCAGCTCTCTGATAGGAGATGCTGGAGTGACAAACAGGGCGTAGGGAGAGAGGATGTTTAACCTGCTGTGCTATAATGCTGGCCCCTGAACTTTTTTTTTTTTATATAAGATTTTAAAGAAAATGTATTTGAAAGAGTGACAGAGTAAGAGAGAGCTTCCATTTGTTGGTTCATGGTTAGGCCAGGCAGGAGCCAGGAGCAGGAATGGAATCCAGGCCTCCCACACGGGAGGCAGGGACTCAGGATCTCCTGCTGCCTCCCAGAATGCTGCTGTCAGGGAGCTGGACTGGAAGCAGAGCTGTCTCTCCCAGCAGGCATTCTGCCATGGGCGTCTTAACTGCTGTGCCCAAACTCTGCGCCTCTGGGGACAGTGGAGGCTCCAGCATGTGTCTCACCTCCTCGAGAGCCCTACAGGCTTCCGTCCTCATACCTTGAGGTCTTTGAGGAAATGTTTGTTTATGTCTTGCATGTTTTCCATGGGTAGTTCATGGGACAGTCCCCATTATTGTTGTTTTAACATCAAAAAGAAGAGTTGTATTTTGATGTTAAAATTTCAACATCAAAATTATAACATTGATACATGTAGTATGTTTCACACTGTATAGAGCTATTTCAAGAATAGTCTTGTTATATTTTAATCACATGGCATACAAAATATTTTTTATGATATTGCTTAAAAGCGAACAGAATGGCAACAAAAAGCCAGAGTACTAAAAGAGTTTTTGAAAGTGAGACCTGTGAGAAATAAAAAAGCAGTAGGAATCTGTAGCTTTAGTGATAATTACTTGTGAATTTTCCCTGAATATTGGATTTTAAAATAAAGCCCTTCATTAATTATATTTTATCCCCTGACCCTACTCTTCTGGTATAAAGTAAAAAACTACTATATAGATACATATTATTTAACGATCTAAAAAAAAATTTTTTTTTTTGAGAGACAGAGCTCCAACCCACTTTTCTGCTCCTTAAATGCCCAAAACAGCTGGGTGGGCCAGGCTGAAGCTGGGAGCTAGGAACTCAGTCCGGGTCTCCCTTCTGAGTGATGGGACCACCTGGTTGAGCTGTCCCCTGGTGCCTCCTGGGCGTGCATCAGCACAAAGCTGGAGCTGGGGGTGCAGCTGGGGGTAGAACGCAGGAGCTCCAATGTGGGCCGCTGCCTGCCCTAGTAGACATTATTTTACCGTCAGTAAAACCTCTTGCCTTTTTCAATTTTAGGGAATGAGTATCTCCATCCTAGGACCCACATTTCAAGATCTGGCAACAAATGTGAACCGAAACATCAGCAGTCTTTCTCTAATTTTTGTGGGCCGTGCCTTTGGATATTTGAGTGGCTCTGTGATTGGTGGAATACTTTTTGACATTATGAATAACTTTCTGCTTTTGGGTAAGTAAGCACTAATTTGAGAATTACTTCTCTGTGATTTTCAGTGACTTCACAGTTTGTCTTTAAATATGAAAAAATACTAAACTGCAGAATTTGACATCTGAAATGGGTAGTGTTTAGGTGGCCTCGATGGAACTTGGGTTTCCTTGGTGCCTGCTTTCACCTTGGCAGCTATAGGCAACCCGTGCTGGGCACACTGCAAACTTAGATTGGCCCTACTGTGTGTTAGCAATTCTGAACCTTCCAGATGTTCACTGTAATTGAAGCACTAGTCCTGGGTCACACAGCTGTCATGCAAAAAACTCGATGTATCAGGCTGTAAGGCCACGAGAAGTCAGAATAAGTTCCTGGCACCTGCCCAGGGCAGACACTGGATAGGACTGAAGGGAGGAAGGAAGGGGGGAACTGATACAGGCTACGTATTTGACCCTACTGCCTTATGTCCATGACAAGCCCAGACTGCTGTCACTCATCCTGCAAATATGAGATGGCAAAGCTATTGGCATTCTCCCAATTGAATAAACTGACATGGTTAATGAAAATGTAGATAATGTTGTAGAATTCATTCAGAAGCAAGGACAGCAATGTATTGTTGCTGAATAAATATATAATTCTTATTGTTTCCATAGTGGGTCAAAAAAGACTATTTAGGACCGGCGCCACGGCTCACTAGGCTAATCCTCCGCCTTGCGGCGCCGGCACACCGGGTTCTAGTCCCGGTCGGGGTGCTGGATTCTGTCCCGGTTGCCCCTCTTCCAGGCCAGCTCTCTGCTGTGGCCAGGGAGTGCAGTGGAGGTGCACCCCATGGGAGACCAGGAGAAGCACCTGGCTCCTGCCATCGGATCAGTTTGGTATGCTGGCCGCGGCGGCCATTGGAGGGTGAACCAACGGCAAAGGAAGACCTTTCTCTCTGTCTCTCTCTCTCTCTCACTGTCCACTCTGCCTGTCAAAAAAAAAAAAAAAAAAAAAAAAAAAAAGACTATTTAAAAAAAATTTTCCTAGGGCTAGCGCTGTAGCATAGTGGGTAAAGCCACCACCTGCAGTGCCCGCATCCCATGTGAGCAATGGTTCAGGTCCCGGCTGCTCCACTTCCGATCCACCTCTCTGCTGTGGCCTGGGAAAGCAGTGGAAGATGGCCCAAGTCCTTGGGCCCCTGCACCCTCTTGGGAAACCTGGAGGAAGCTCCTGGCCCCTGGCTTCGGATCGCCGCAGCTCTGGCCATTGCAGTTAATTGGGGAGTGAACCAGTGGATGGAAGACCTCCCTCTCCCTCTGCCTCTGCCTCTCTCTGTAACTCTCCCTTTCAAATAAATTTTAAAAAACGTTTCCTCCGGGCCCGCTGCCCACAGGCGCTGTGTTCCAGCCAGCCGGGCTTGTGGACCCACGATCCATGCTGGCTGCCCTGCCCTCCTTGCTGCCACGGTGGCAGACCTGATCCTTGCAGCTCCATCTTCTCTGGGCTCATCTACCCCGTGGAGAAAGATGCCCACACATCTTACACCTTAACACCATTAGCATGATGACCGTCAGCTATGGAAACACCACCTGGTCACCTTGGCCGGGAAGCTCATGTCAGCCTGTGCGTCATCTGTGGCCCTGCGGACGCTGGTGGCTCTGCCTAGCACCATCATCTTCAACAGGTTTTCCAAATACTGGCAGAAGCAAAGGGACATTGATGTGGACCAGTGCAGTGAGGACCGCCAGAGAAGTGTCCAGGGCTACCTTAGGGGTCTTTAGGCATGCCTTCATCACCAGTCTGTCTTCTGTGGGCATTGTGGTGAGTGATCCTGGCTCTGCAGACACCTTGGGCATCGAAGACAATGAGGACATGTATAACACTGCATCCTAGGAGAATTGCACAGCAAAATAATCAGGGATGTTTGTGCCTGTATCTTGTGTCCCTTCCCAACATTAGGTTGACACGGCTTCATAAACCTTAATGGGTTTGTTAAAATCATCTAATTCTCAGGGTGTACCTTTCAGCCATAGTTGGACATTCATTGCTGAATTTTGAAATGATAGAGTTATCTTTATCTTTCTCAGATCAATTAAATGCCTCGTGCTGAAACTTATTTTTTACAAGAGAGAGTAGTGAAATGGTTTCGGGGAACAAAATGGTACATGCTATTGGGAGGGATTTGCTGCTATGGCTTGTATGTTATTCTTTGTTTGTCATTTACTCACGTTGAGCTAACTACAAACTACTGACAAGCAGAGTCAAAGATCCAGCTGGCAGAAGCCTACACGCATGTAAGATCCACAAAAAGAAACCATGTATGTAAATCCATGTTCAAGTTCTAGACATGGAAATTAGGAACCTAATAAACTTCCTAATGCGGGAAAAAAAAATTCCTCCCTATACTCCAAAGTAATGTATTACTAAAGTTTACCAAAAACTGGTCTTCTAGTTGCATTTATTTGTCATTTTCAGTGTCATACCTCATGTCTTAAACATTTCTTTGGGTTCTTAAATATGAAACATTTAAATAAATAATGTTTTTCTGTTTTTTTTTTTTTTTTTTTTTTTTTTTTTAAGATTTATTTATTTGAAAGGCAGAGTGACAGAAAGGGCGACTGAGAAATCTCCCATCTGCTGGTTTACTCCCCAGATGTCTAACAGCCAGGAGTCGTGGACTCCATCAGGGGCTCACACATAGGTGGCAGGGCCCCAAGGACTTGGGCCATCTTCCATGCATTCCTAGGAGCATCAGCAGGGAGCTGAATCAGAAGCAGAGCAGCTGGGACTTGAACAAGGACTCTGAGATGGGATGCCGGCATCGCAAGTGGCAGCTTAACACTTGTGCCGCAACACTGGTCCTGTTTCATGTCTTCGCTAGAAACTTGTCTGTAATAAAGTCAGTATAGCGTTGCTAGCCAAGTGTTCATGTTACAGTGATTTCTTTTTTGTAATTCATAAATTGTCAAAGATTTAAATGGAATCAACCTGTGTAGAATCTGCAGCTCTCATCTCACTGTTACTCCTTTTGACTTGTCCTTACATTGTTGGAAGCTTTTATGATGCTGACCGTGAATGCAGGAATATTATTTTTAATGGCTGACTCTCACCTTTCTTCTCAGGGGTGTCGACATTGGCTACCACAGTAGGTCTTTACCTTGTTCCGTTTTGCAAGACAGCTGTATTACTGATCGTCATGATGTCTGTCTTTGGTGTTTCAGCTGGCATTTTGGATACAGGTCAGTAAGCCCTACAGTGCCATCCCTGGGAGTAGGAATTTTCTACTATGGAAAAGTAGAGTAAATATTAAACTGTCACTTGCAGTGCCCCCGTAAATGACACAGACCTACTATGTTGGCATCACCCAGTCAGAATCACCTGTCAAGCATCTGTTATTGCTACTCAGGGGTCCTAATTTTGAGCAGCCAACTATGAAGTGAACTTAATTTTGTTCCAGAAAAAAATGCTGATTAAGAATGCGCAGAGTGGGTGATGACACTGCGTGAGAACAGGCTTTTTTCTGGATGAAACGTTATCATTGAGGGGTAGAAGAGATTGATGGTTTCATAGGTTAAACCACGTCTGGAACCATTATTTTGAAAGAAAGCATACAGGCTGCCACCCATTATAAAATGTACTGCGCTTTTCCAGCTAAGGGAAACCCCCTGTTGTGCACTACTTTCATTTTCTTTCTTTCCTGTTTTTTTGCACTCTCAAAATTTCCTGCCCTCGCTCAGCAGGTCCCCCCTCCATGCATCATGTCTGTGCAAACCTCCTGAACAACATGTGGCAGCCCCTTCCCAGATCCAGCCCTCTGGCCCTCCCCTTCCCTGCTTTCATTTTGTAGCATGGATTGGAAAATGATTTTTTACCTTCGACTTAATTGGGTTGTGAAATTACAGGGTGGAAATTTGTTTACTCTAAAAATACCTATGAATGCAAAGGACACTTGAACACTTGAAGCTTCTTGCCCTGCGCCTTGTTGGCGTCCAGACAGTGTGGAGTGCAGATGGCGAATGGTGTCTCGTTTCCTGCACTGGGCACACCAGAATGCTGCAGTATCGGGTTCCAGAACGTGTGTTTTGCTTTTAAATATCTCTGAAGTTATGACTGATTACAAGGACAGCAGGGTTGGTAATTTGGCTGCTATCTGACGATAAAATTTTACCTTTTAAATATATAGGTATTTAAAATCTTTATAAATGAATCAGTAGTGAATATTAGTCCCACAACGTGTGGACAGACTATGTAGCCTTTTCCTACAGTGCCTGGCTCTGGAGGCAGTGGTTACTATCCTGTAGCTTCCACTTGGGAGGATGTGATGTTACATTCTGAGTTCCATGGTGCTGGGGGGTTAGAATTCCTTAATCACAGAATCGACATTGTTGCTATGCTTGATAATGAAGAATGCTTGTGCCATAAAAAGTAGACTCAATCCTTTTCTGCAATGAATTATTTGTTCCCTAAGTTACCGAGTTTAACTTAGATCATTTTCCCTGTTTTTCATTGGTAGGTGGTAATGTGCTTATCTTGGCTCTCTGGGGAGACAAAGGAGCCCCCCATATGCAAGCCTTACACTTCAGTTTTGCCTTGGGTGCCTTTTTGGCTCCCCTGCTCGCTAAATTGGCCCTGGGTACGACAGAGCCTGCTGGGAACCACACGGAGCCTGACCCTCTCCACCCCGCCCTCAACCAGTCAGCTGAGGCAGACTCGGGACCTGTGTTTGGAGCCCCTGAGGACATGAATTTACTGTGGGCTTATGCTGTCATCGGGACTTACGTTTTCATAGTGTCTTCCTTTCTGTTTGTGCTGTTTTTCAAGAAAAGCTCAAGAGGGCCCAAAGCAAAAATGTCTGCTCAGACCTTTCGAAGGGCGAAATACCACCGCGCCCTTCTCTGCCTCCTTTTTCTGTTCTTCTTTTTTTATGTTGGCGCCGAGGTCACCTATGGCTCTTACGTGTTCTCGTTTGCCACCACCCATGTGGGCATGGAAGAGAGCGAGGCGGCCGGGCTGAACTCCATCTTCTGGGCCACGTTCGCAGCCTGCAGGGGCCTGGCCATCCTTTTTGCGACATGTTTACAGCCCGGCACCATGATTGTGTTGAGCAACGTTGGCAGCCTGGCGTCGTCTTTCTTCCTGGTGCTTTTTGACAAGAGCCCGGTTTGCCTCTGGGTTGCCACCTCGGTGTATGGGGCATCGATGGCAACCACGTTTCCCAGTGGCGTGTCCTGGATCGAGCAGTACACGACCATCCATGGGAAATCAGCAGCCTTCTTTGTAGTTGGTGGTACCTTGGGAGAAATGGCTATTCCTGCGTTAATTGGAATTCTTCAAGGAAAATACCCTGATTTGCCCGTCATTCTGTATACGTGTTTGGGGTCAGCAGTATTCACTGCTATTTTGTTTCCTGTGATGTATAAATTAGCCACCTGGCCTCTTGCTCACCAGCACAAAGCAAACAGAAAGAGCGAGGACCAGAGAGCTTTGCTGTCTAACCCTAGTATAAATGATTATGAAGAAGAGGACGAAGACGAAGATGCAGAAGAGTGGAATGAGATGGATTTTGAAGTGGTTGAAATGCAGGATCCATTGAGGCCCTCTGTGACGGCCATCTAGCAGTTCTCTGATGGAGCCCACCTTGGAAGTGTCTGACCAGCGTCTGGCTAATGCTGTGGTGTAGGAGTGCTCTCTGCTCCAGACTGGCAGTTCCTTTGTGGAGTTCTCGCCAGGGACCAGAGCAGAGGGGACCAGCACTGAGAGGAGAGGGCTCCTTTATTGGCTCCCTTGGTGATCACTGCTTGAAGGGGCCAGGCAGAGCCGAGCATCGCAGTTGTCAGCCTGCTTTGGGCAGCAACCGCTCTAGGTCTCTTCATAGCAAACGCCAGCAAGTGTTGAAATGTTCGCTGCTCCCAGATTCTTCCCTAAGTAGCCCAGGGGTCTCCCACAGCAGGAGCTGTATGAGGCTAGTGTTTGGCATGTGACCGACTAGGTCCTGTTTTCTGGTCTTCACCCCTTTAGAGCATGCAAAGAAGTCACTTGTTTTTGAGAAGCTGGGTAATGTTCTGGTGGGACAAAATCCTTAGAAGTGGAGTTGATTCGCTGAACAAATTAGCAGGCATCAAAATAGTGCCAGGGAAGTTGGGGAAAGTAAATGGACAGTTTTATTACTTACTTACTTTGCCTTATCTAGGCTGAGTCAAAGAATGCTAATGACTCTTGTGTGTTTTGATTTCCAAGAACAGAACACAGCACAGGGCTTTCAGTTCATCTCTTGGACTTTGTGATTCTAGAAATGAAAAGAATGATTTTCACATTAGGAATCCATCAATTTTAACATTTATGTAAGGTGTCTTCTAATAATTAGGACGAGGCTACTTCAAAACTTTGGAAGTGGAATTACAAGAGTCATATATTTTGATGCAAAAACTTTTGAAGCTCATGCATAGCATTTTCATAACACTGTTTCCATGAGCTCTGTGAAGACCTCTCATATAAGTACCTGATGTTCTTCATTTCAAATGAGAACTGAAACAAAATTATAAATAGCTTTAAGAAAGTAGTACTGATTATGAATACTTGTCAAAGTAATATACTTAATGTTTAATACTTTATTTGGTTATTTGAAGAATATTTTTCTTAGTACTGCATTTCATCGATTCCAGACACATTTTTCTGTACTTACCATCTCTGCAATCAAGATATATCTTCCCATCAGTGGTCATTTAACATTGACAGTGTTTATCTCACAGTCCTTTTCATGTACCTGTATAATATAGAGTTGCATTTTGTATTTGGTGTCTTAGATTCAGTGAGATCTAGTACTTCATTCAGTTATGGAGATGACACTATTTTTACAGACATTTTTAAAAGAAAAGGCGTTTTTCTAGGCTAATTTTCTAGTTCATATGGGACTTGGAGAAACTATTGTGAGTCTAACCCAGGATTCAGAGCTACCCCATCAGGAGTAGGCTGTGGATGGGTGTTTTGAGGTCCTTTGCTTACCTCAGTAACAGGGGCTGATGTAGGCCTTGCTTTTGTGAGATGTAGCCCACATGGCTTTGGTTGGTGATCGCATGGTGAGCACAGGGTCCTGTGCGAGGAGCAGTCTTTTCCAGAGACTGGAGTACTTGTGTTGCTCACCCAGGGCCCATGCTTCCTGAGTTTGAAATAGCTGGAAAGCCAAAGTGAAAACTGGCGGAGGGCTGGTGGCCTGGGAGTCAGGGACGAGAAGGGCCCTGCCCAGGAGTGTGGCGGAACTGCTGTGGCTGCCCTTTGACAAAGCGTAGAACCAATGACAGGTTCTGTGTACGTCTCCCCACATCTTATGCTGAGTGACCTCACAAATCTGCCTTGCACTGTTGCTTTCTCTTACGTGTGGTCTAGAAATTTGCATTTGTCCTGTCTTGTGTGCAGTACAACACCTTTCATCACCATTTGCTGCCTGCCCATCTGCTTGCATCTGTTTTGGTTCATGTTCATCACCAACGACTTTGGGGAGGGCTGGTGGAGACACCGACACCCCCAGGCTCTGCTGTTTCTGTTCCGTGCTCTTCCCTCTGTCTGACCCGGCAGTGACCGCTCAGTCCCAGGCCGTTTCTCAGGCTGGGGGGTTAGGCGGTAGCAGTTGTTCGGCAGCGGAGGGCTCAGATGGGACTGGGCATGCAGCGCCTACTTCTAGAGGCTGGATGCGGGGCTCAAGGAAGGGGGTGGGTAATGGGAGCCTGGCAGACGGTTTGGAATGCCTCGTTAGAAAGTCCGCGAGGGTTCCTCAACCCCATGTGAGCACGCCAGATGAGATCGAAGGCTTGTTTACAGTGTGATCATGTAGCTCCATATTGGAAGAAAACAAAATTCAGTATTCCCTGGACCGGCATTCATCCTAGCCATGAATTCTTAGCGGTCTGCTGCTACACTGGAATCGGTGCCCGGTTTTCTGTTGCTGAGTAACCCGTCAGCAGACATGTCGCAGCTGAAATCCGAAGATGTGTCTTATCGCTCGATTCGTGAGGGTTGGGAATCTGGGAGCTGTCTGCGTCCTCAGCTCATGGTCTCCAGGCCTGCAGTCACTTCCGGCAGTGCTGCCTTCTCTGGAGCTGAGGCTCCTCTTCCAGGGCTGTGTGTGTACGTTTCTATACTATGTACAACATGAAGCCACGGATATTGTGTGTTTGATGTTCTGCCATAATGCGGCAGTGAGAAGCTGTGGCGGTGATAAGGAAGGGATACAGAAAGTGTCCGGGCCGGCGCCGCGGCTCACTAGGCTAATCCTCCACCTTATGGTGCCAGCACACCGGGTACTAGTCCCGGTCGGGGCGCCGGATTCTGTCCTGGTTGCCCCTCTTCCAAGCCAGCTCTCTGCTGTGGCCAGGGAGTGCAGTGGAGGATGGCTCAGGTGCTTGGGCCCTGCACCCCATGGGAGACCAGGATAAGTACCTGGCTCCTGCCATCGGATCAGTTCGGTATGCTGGCCGCGGCAGCCATTGGAGGGTGAACCAACGGCAAAAAAAAGGAAGACCTTTCTCTCTGTCTCTCTCTCTCACTGTCCACTCTGCCTGTCAAAAAAAAAAAAAAAAAAAAAAAAAAAAGTCTGGATACAAGTGCAGGTGTTTCAAAATCTTTTTTTTCTTTTTCTTCAGTGATGGCCACTTTGCCTAATGGTTAATCTGCTAGTTGGGATAGCTGCCTCTTAGATCATCATGCTTGGGTTAGAGTTCCATTTCCTTCTGCTGATTTCAGCTTCCTGCTAAGGTGCACCCTGGGAGGCATCAGGTAATGGCTCAAGTAATTGTGTCCTGGCTACTCATAGGGGAGAATGGATTGAATTCCCAGCTCCTTCCTTTGACCTGGTACAGCCCCAGCTCTCCTGGGAATTTGAGGAGTAAACCTACCAACAGAGCTGCCTCTGACAGCCAGTCTCTGTCTCTCAAATAAAAATACATAAATAAAAGGATTTCTTTTTTAATTGACAATTTTATGGAGACTATATACTTACAGTCAGTTGTACGTACTATTTTTAAAAATTCTGAGTTGCTCAGTCTACAAGACTTTGTAATCTGTTACATGTTAGACTTAGCTGTTAAAATGCAGATTCTAGTGTAGCAGGGCTGTGGGTGGGACTGAAGCCACCATTTATTTCTTTTTTAAAGATTTGTTTATTTGTAAGGCAGAATGACAGGGAGAGACAAAGAAATCTTCTGTCTGCTGGTTCACTTCCCAGGTGGCTGCAGTGGTCGGGGCTGAGCTAGGCTGAAGCCAGCAGTTAGGAACTTCCTCCGGGACATCTATGTGGGTGGCGGGGCCTACTTGCTTGGGTGATCTTGCTCTGCTTTCCTTGGCACATTAGCAGGAGCTGGTTCAGAAGCAGAGCAGGCAGGATTCGAAACCATTGCTTTGCTATGGATGCTGGCATTGTAAGTAGAGGCTTAAGCATCTTTGCCATAATGCTGGCCTCATGAAAGCCACAATTTTTAACAGGCTGCTAGAAGTTGCATTTTCATGGCCCATGGGCCACACTTAGGGTAGCAATGTCCAGGTTTTGGGGAGTGTTGAATTTTTTGCTACTATGGAAGTCTTAGCTTTTCTATTTCTGATCCTAGCTCTTTGGTAGTCTACAATCCCTGTGGATCCTTTCTTTTCTCTGTGGTGTGTACATACATGCAACACAAATTATGTGCCCTATGTATCCAGGGAACAGGTCTCTAAGACAGTTCTCTTCAGTTGTCTTGATTTGCCATCCTGGCTCTTGAGCTGCATGGTGTGCAGGACCCCCTGATTGGCAGTCTGTGGGAGGAGCTGGACGTGCACTGGTTAAGAGCTCAGAGGGTTCCTGTCCTCATGGGCTTCCCCTCTACTGTGGGGCTGTGCAGTACAACTTGCTGAGATGATGGAAGAGTTACCGGTCTGCACTGCCCAGGAAAACCACTGGCCACATCTGTCGAGTTTAGACCTTCAAGCTTGGCTAGAATGACAGTGAATTGATTTTCAATTCAAATGTCAACTTAAATATGCACGGGAGTAGCAATGCTATATTGGATAGAAGAGGCCTCGTGGGAAAAACAAGACATCAGACAATCGCACAAGGTGTTTCCAGGAAGGATTTGTTTCCTAGTGTGCTAGAAAGCAACAAGGACCTGGGGCAGGGAAGGTTTTATAGAAACCTTATCAAGTGCATGATATCAAATGCATGTCACATCCCTTAAGAAAGGCCTGGTATGAAGCACTTGGGACAGTAGACGGGGTGCTTAGTGCTTAGAAAAGAAGTCTTTGGCTTCCCTTGTGTGTAAAGGGAGCACAGTGAGGCTGGTGACCTTGGCTGTCAGAAGGAAGAAAGGGATAAGATGCAGAATAGATCAAATTCCTTGTTTTTTCTACTTTTTTTTTATTACTATTTTTTGACAGGCAGAGTGGACAGTGAGAGAGAGAGAGAGGCAGAGAGAAAGGTCTTCCTTTGCCGTTGGTTCACCCTCCAATGGCCGCCGTGGCCGGCGTATCACGCTGATCTGAAGGCAGGAGCCAGGTGCCTCTCCTGGTCTCCCATGGGGTGCAGGGCCCAAGTACTTGGGCCATCCTCCACTGCACTCCCTGGCCACAGCAGAGAGCTGGCCTGGAAGAGGGGCAACCGGGACAGAATCCGGCGCCCCGACCGGGACTAGAACCCGGTGTGCCAGTGCCGCAAGGCGGAGGATTAGCCTAGTGAGCTGCGGCGCTGGCCCCAAATTCCTTCTTAAATACACTTCGACCAGTCAGCATTTGAGTCATATTTTTATTTAGTTGTGAAACCTTTATTCTTAGTGATTAAAAATTTAAATGTTGAATTTTTACAGTTAAAATTTTTTTCTTAAGTTTTCAGCATTCGTATGGTGGTTGCTGTCGTGATGTCTTTTCTTGTCATCTATTTATGCCTTGTTTTCATTCTTTCAGAGATTAGTGCTGCTATTTGAGTATTTTGTTTTTCTAGATATTTTTGTGTGAAAGGCAGAGTGACAGAGAAGGGAGAGCTTCCATCTATTGACTCAGTGCCCTATTTAGTCACAATAGCAGGGGCTGAGCCAGGTTGCAGCCCGGAGCCTGGAACTCCTTCCAGGTTTCCCTTGTGGGGACCCAGGTACCTGAGCCATCTTCTGTTGCACATTAGCAGGGAGCTGGATCAGAAGTGAAGCTGCCAGGATTCAAATTGGCACTCATACGGGATGCCGGTGTTGCAGGCAACAACTGAACTCACTGTGCCACAAGGCTGGCCCCATGTCCTTTGGCTATTAATTTTTCTGTGTTGTATCTGTGCCTTCCTTTTGCATGAGATTTTTTACTTGCTGAATGCATTTAACATCTGGCCTGTACATTTATTTCAGCCTGCCTTTGATGCTTCTGGGTTTGAGTTAGTTTGTAGATGGCCTGGCGAAATGTTTCAAAGTCAGCGAGTGGCTTCCATGGGATGGACTTTTCAAGCTTCTGAATAGCTCTTTGAGATTATGCAATGCTTTGTTAAGAATTATTTATATATACATATGTGTATTTTTAGTCATAGTAATAGACATGCCATAAAATTGGCTGTTTTAATCATTTCTAAGCTCAGTGGCATTGAGGACATTCACATTGTCGGGCCACCCTCACTACCATCTATCCACAGATCTCTTCATCTCACACAACTGAAACTCAGTGCCTGTGAAGCAGGAGCTGCCCATTGCACAACCCATCAGGCCCTGGCAACCACTAAGCTACATTCTCTGTGCAGGAATTTGACTGCTTCAGGTACCTCATATAAATGGAATCATACCAGAATTGCCCTTTTTCTTTTTTTAAAAAATTATTTATTTGATAGGCAGAGTAAGAGAAAGGGAGAGGGGCAGGAGAGAGAGAGCTTTCATCTACTGGTTATTTCTCCAGTGGCTGCAATGGCTGAGGCTGGTCCAGGTCAAAGCCAGGAAACTAGAACTTCATCAAGGTCTCCTGTGTGGGTGCAGGGGCCATCTTCCACTGCTTTCTCAAGCACATTAGCAGGTGGTAGATAGGAAGTAGAGCAGCCAGGACTCGAGCTGGGACTCTGAGATTGGATGCTGGCATTTCAAGTGGCGGCTTAACCTCCTGTGCCACAAAGCCAGACACTGTCCTTTTCTGCCTAGCTTCTTTGACTTAACATAATGTCTGCAAAGTTCATTGGTGTGGTGGCATAGGTGGGAATGCCTTCCAGAGACCCTGCATCCAGTTCTTTTGTGATACATACCTGTGACCGGAATTCCTAGGTCATGCGGTAATTCTGTCTTTAACCTGTGTGTGTGTGTGTGTGTCTGGGTGCGCGTGCGCATGTGTGTGTTAATTTTTAAAGGTTTTAATAGGTTTCAGTATAGTTCACAGATAAAATTCTAAGAATATAATGATACTTCCTCTCTCCTTCTCTCTTTTTCCCCTTCTTACCTTCACTTTTGAGATAATCTCTCTTTATTTTACATTATGGTCAAGGGCTTAGTGCTCTATTAAATAAAAAAAAAAGATTTATTTATTTGAAAGGCAGAGTGACAGAGAAAGAGGCCTCTGTCTGCAGGTTCCCCACATGGCCACGAAAGCTGGGGCTGGGCCAGGCCAAAGCCGAGAACCAGAATCTCCATCCTGGTCTGCCACATGGGTGGCAGTGGCTCAGGTATTTGTGCCACCACCTGCTGCCTTCCTAGGCATGTTAGCAGGGAGCTGGATCAGAAAGGGAGCAGTCGGGGTTCCAGCTGGCACTCCCGTATGAGATGCTGTCAGGCATCCAAACAGCTTAATCCTCTCAAACAAAGATTATGTCAGGCTTTACCTTAGACTTCTGTGATCTCAACTTCCAATCTGTGATCAGTTCTTGGGCAAGTTATTGGCAGCTTCCCATGAACTAGGCTCAGTAGACGAAGTACTAATGAACTTACTCTCCTGTCCTTGGTTCCTGTGTCTGCTGTTGCCAGGGCAGGGCTGGGCCCGGCACAGACAGCAGAGAGATGCCTGAGTGTGTGCCGATGGTCAGGCCCTGGAACTGGAGGCCTGACTCATCCTTTCAATCACTGGAAATCACATCACATAACAGACTTTTCAGCAAGAGCCTACCACACAGGGCTGGGGGGAAGAAAAGCTCCATCCTAATGGGGTAGCATTTCTACCTGAATGACCTAGAAGAGGATTCCCAGTTTGCAAGAGGTATGACAGCTGTCATGTCTATGATGCAGACGGCTTCCAAGTTCGTGACTTTCAGTTGTTTAACAGCTATTGAATGAGCATTTGCCATGTCCAGTAGTCAGAGCCCTGGGAATATACAGCGCACTAGGACAAAACAGATTGACATCCTTGCCTTCCCCGAACTTGTGTTTTACTATTTCAAGTAAGATTTGCAGTGACCGCGTTTCTATTAGCTGGAGAGCCAGGGATGCTTACTTAATAGGTGTCAGGCAGTTCCAAAACAGTCAAGTAGCCAAGCTCTTGGCTTCCTGGTATGTATTGGTGCTTGTTCAGCTCCATTATTTCCTGTTTTCTTGATTTTGAGTTTTATAAAAAATATTTAGTCCAGAGCCTTTTCACTGATAGAGCTAACATCTTCTTTAAGAAAACCCCAGTAAAGGAGACCAACACCAGTCTTGGGATTCACTCCATGCAGTTGAGAGGAGGCACTGATGGTTGAAGTGGCTGTTGGGGTTCAGCTCTGAGTACCCTCAGGCTGAGGAAGAGGGTTCTTGTTTCACAGCCCCAGCGCTGATATTTTCAAAGTTGTCCCAGTATCGTAACGCTCAGCCAAGGTTGTGAACCCCTGCTTTCGTCAGCGTGGAGAGCTGGCTGCTGGTCATATGTGTTCTTTACATGTCTTTTTTTTTTTTTTTTTTAAGAACAGCGTGCAGCTTGGTTTAGTTATGCTGCTTTAGTGGATGCCTCAAATTCTGTGCACTGCATATGAAGGAAAACTGGACAGGAAGAAAGCTCCTGTTTTCTGTTATCTCCTGCTGTCTGGTGAATTAAAGGTGATTATCAGTACTCACGGGTAAAGTGCTGAACTGAACCCAGGGATTTTGCAGATTGATCTTCTAGCCAGGTGTTTACTAAGTAGCATTCATTTTGGGTACTTAAAAGTGTGGCACTCCTATACATTAAATATTCCATACATCTGAATGTGTGACTCCTCACTGTTTACATGGCTTTGCACAGGATAAGAGTTTATTTATAAAATATTGATTTCAATAAAATTTATGTCAATAAGATGTTTCATTGTGTTTTATTGGTGATACAAAATGCCTTTTGCATCTCTCTTTTAGGAATCATTCAAGAATATTTCTGGAATGTTGGTATGTTTTAGTTCCTCATATACCTGATAGTTTTTTTTTTAACTTTTATTTAATGAATATAAATTTCCAAAGTACAGCTTATGGATTACAGTGGCTTCCCCCCCAATAACTTCCCTCCCACCCGCAACCCTCCCCTTTCCTGCTCCCTCTCCCCTTCCATTCACATCAAGATTCATTTTCAATTCTCTTTATATACAGAAGATCAGTTTAGTATACATTAAGTAAAGATTTCAACAGTTTGCACCCACATAGAAACACAAAGTGAAAAATACTGTTTGAGTACTGGTTATAGTATTAAATCACAATGAATATACCTGATAGTTACATTATAGTTTCACTTGACATAATATATAAATCTGTGTAATGTGGGTTCCCATTACTTTCCAGTAGGCAGCCACGGCTGGGGCTATTTGTCCTTCCACTTAACTTCATCTCAATGGATTTGGTGGGGCAAAGAGTGGGCTCTGTGGGTAACTTCTGACCACATCACCACTACTAGCAGGCTCCCTGGGCCTGCAGCATTGGGTAATGCACTGTGGTCCCTAAGGACAGATTGGAAGCTTGGCTGTAGTTCCTCTTCTGTATCCCAGGGGAAAAGTTAATGATGATCTGGAGGGTGGTATTTTCCCATTTACTCACCCAGCAGCCATTTCGCTGTCTGTGCTAAGGGAGATTGTAATGGACAAGCCAGTATGAAAGTAGCTTCTATGTAGGGTGATGGTGAAAGGGTGATCTCTGCCCAGATGTGATTTCTTTTTAAAAATATTTTATTAATATAAAATGAAAAGATTTCATGTATTTTATAAATACAATGCTGATAAATATAATGCACTCTTTCTAGGTCTCCCTCAATCCCCCTCCTTCCTTCCTTTTTTTTTTCATTAATTTTTTTGTAAAAACAATTTAAGACCACTTATAATTACAGACTTAATGTACTACTAACTATAATAATCAACAAATAAAAATATAAAGACCACAGTTCCACAGAGCATAAACAAGGGCCAAATAATAGCAAATCATTAGATGTCCATTTCATTCCTATACATTTTTTGGTAATTCTAAATTAACTACCATGTATCAGAGAAAACATGATATTTGTCTTTTGGGGACTGGCTTATTTCATTAAGCCCAATGCTTTCCAGTTGCATCCATTTTGTTGCAGAAGACACATTGCATTCTTTTTTTGTGGAAAAGTAGTATTCCATAATGTATATATAACCACATTTTCTTTATCCAGTCTTCAGTTGATGGACATCTGGGTTGATTCCATATCTTAGCTGTTGTGAATTGAGCTGCAATAAATATGGAGGTACAACTAATTCTTTCATATGCTGATTTAATTTCATTTGAGTAAATTCCCATGAGAGGGATGGCTGAGTCATATAGTAGATCTATTTTCAGATTTCTTAGGAACTTCCATATTGTCTTCCATAATGGCTGTACTAGTTAACATTTATACCAACAGTGTATTAGGGTACATTTTTTCCTTACATGCTCACCAGCCTTTATTGTTTGTGGGTTTTTGGATGGTAGCCATTCTAACTGGGGTAAAGTAAAATCTCACTGTGGTTTTTCTTTGCATCTCCTTGCTGACTAATAATCCTGAGCGTTTTTCCATGTGCTGTTGGCCATTTGTATTTCATCCTTTGAAAAATGCCTGTTCACGTCTTTTTGCACATATCTTAACTTGATTGCTTTATTGTTATTGAGTTTCTTGAGCTCTTTATAGATTATAGTTTGCAGATATTTTCTCCCATTCTGTCAGTTGCTTCTTCACTTTGTTGAGTGCTTCCTTTGCAGTGCAGAAGCTTCTTAGTTTGATGTAATCTCATTTGTCTATTTTTGCTTTTATTGCCTGTGCTTCTAGGGTCTTTTCCAAGAAGTCTTTGCCTGTACCAATATCTTGCAGAATTTCTCTGATGTTTTTATTTAGTAATTTGATAGTATTAGGTCATATATTTAGATCTATAATCCATTGTGAGTCGATTTTTGTTTCATACTTCTGCATCATAGATCTTATTTTCCCAACATGATTTGTTGAAGAGACTGTCCTTTCTCTAGGGATTGATTTTAGCTCATTTGTCAAAGATTAGTTGGTTGTAGTTACGTGGATTCATTTATCAAGTTTCAATTCAGTTCCATTGACTACTTGTCTATTTTTTGTGCCAGTTCCAGGCTGTTTTGATTATAACAGGCCTGCAGTATGTCTTAAAATCTGTTATTGTGATGCTTCCAGCTTTGTTTGTTGTTTAAGATTGCTTTGGCTATTTGGGGTCTCTTGTGTTTCCATATAAATTTTAACAACTTTTTTTCTAAATCTGGGAAGAGTGGTATTTTGATTGGAATCACATTGAATCTGTAAGCTGCTTTGGATAGTATGGACATCTTGATACTGTTTATTCTTCTGATCCACAAACATGGAAGATTCTTTCACTTTTTCATGTATATCTTCTTCTAGCCTTTAATGTTTTATAATTTTAATTGTAGAGATCTTTCATATTCTTGGTTAAATTTATTCTAAGGCATTTAATTTTTTTTAGCTATTGTGAATGGTACTGATTTTACAAGTTCTTTCTCAGCCATGGCATTGTTTGTGTGTACAAAGACTATTTATTTTTGTGTGTAGATTTTCTATCCTGCAACGTTACCAAACCCTCTTAGGAGTTTCAAGAGTCTCTTGGTGATCTTTTGGTTCCCCTCTATATAGGATCATGTCATCTGCAAACAGGGATAATTTGGCCTTCTCTTTTCCAATTTGTATCCCTTTTATTTCTTTTTCTTGCCTAATGGCTCTGGCTAAAACTTGAACTATATTGAATAGCAGTGCTGAAAGTGAAAATCCTTGTCTGGTTCTGGATCTTGGATTTAAAGTAATGCTGTCCTCATAAAGGAGTTTGGGAGGATTCCCTGTCTTTCATTTGCTTTGAGTAGTTTGAGAATAATTAGAATTAGTTCTTTAAAAGTTCGGCAGAAAACAGCAGTGAAGCCATTCAGTCCTGGGGTTTTCTTTGTTGGGAGGGTCTTTATTATTGATTCAGTCTCCATCTTGGTTATTGGTCTGTTTAGGTTTTCTGTGTCTTCATGACTGAATTTTGGTGAAGTGTATGTGTCCAGAAATCTATCCATTTCCAAATTTCCAGTTTGTTGGCATATAGCTCATTGCATTAATTTCTGATGATACTTTTTATTTCTGTGGTTTCCATTGTAACATCTCCTTTTTCATCTCTGATTTTCTCATTTTTGGTCCCCCCTTTTGTGTTTAGGTTGGCCAATGGTATATCAATCTTTTTCATTTTTTCAAAAAACCAGCTTTCTAAAATTTATTTGACAGGTGGAGTTTACAGACAGTGAAAGAGAGACAGACAGAAAGGTCTTTCTTCTGTTGGTTTATTCTCCAAATGGCCGCAACAGCCAGAGCTATGCCGATCCGAAGCCAGGAGCCAAGAGCTTCTTCCTGGTCTCCCATGCGGGTACAGGCACCAGTCCCCCAACTTTTCATTTTACTGATTTTTGTATAATTTCTTGGGTGGTTTCAATTTTTTATTCTCTATTTTAATTTTTTTTCTCCTCCTATTTTTTTCTTATTTTTTACGTCCTTGAGATGCAGTTATATCATTCATTTGATGCCTTTCCAATTTCTTTATACTTTCTTCTTAACACTACTTGTACTATATCCTATAAGCTTTTTAAAAAATATTTATTTAGGGGCCAGGGCCGTGGCTCACTTGGTTAATCCTCCACCTGTGGTGCCAGCATCCCATATGGCGCTGGGTTCTAGTCTCGGTTGCTCCTCTTCCAGTCCAGCTCTCTGCTGTAGCCCGGAAGGGCAATGGAGGATGACCCAAGTGCTTGGGCCCCTGCACCCACATGGGAGACCAGGAAGAAGCACCTGGCTCCTGGCTTTGGATTGGCGCAGTGCCAGCTGTGGCGGCTGTTTGGGGGGGGGGTGAACCAACGGAAGGAAGACCTTTCTCTTTGTCTCTCTCTCTCACTGTGTAACTCTATCAAATAAAAAATATTTATTTATTTATTTATTTGAAAGTTGGAGTTACACAGAGAGAGAAGGAGAGACAGACAGAGAGAGAGAGAGAGAGGTCTTCCATCCACCTATTCATTCCCCAGATGACTGTATCAGCTGGAGCTACGCTGATCTGAAGCCAGGAGCCAGGAGCTTCTGGGTCTCTCACATGGGTGTAAGTTTTTTTATGTGCATTATCATCTTCATTCATTTTGATGAATTTTTTTATTTCCCTTATGATTTCTTTTTTTTAACGTTTATTTAATGAATATAAATTTCCAAAGTACAGCTTATGGATTACAATGGCTCCCCACCCCCATACCTTCCCTCCCACCCGCAACCCTCCCCTTTCCTGCTCCCTCTCCCCTTCCATTCACATCAAGATTCATTTTCAATTCTCTTTATATACAGAAGATCAATTTAGCATATATTAAGTAAAGATTTCAACAGTTTGCACTCACATAGAAACACAAAGTGAAAAATACTGTTTGAGTACTAGTTATAGCATTAAATCACAATGTATAGCACATTAAGGACAGAGATCCTACATGAGGAGTAAGTGCACAGTGACTCCTGTTGTTGACTTAACAAATTGACACTCTTGTTTATGGCATCAGTAATCACCCTAGGCTCTTGTCGTGAGTTGCCAAGGCTATGGAAGCCTTTTGAGTTCACCAACTCTGATCATATTTAGACAAGGTCATAGTCAAAGTGGAAGTTCTCTCCTCCCTTCAGAGAAAGGTACCTCCTTCTTTGATGACCTGTGTTTTTTTTTTTTTTGTTTTTTTTGTTTGTTTGTTTTTTTGTTTTTTTTTTTTTTTTTGCCAGAGTGTTTTGGTTTTCCATGCCTGTAATACTCTCAGGGGCTTTTCAGCCAGATTCACATGCCTTAAGGGCTGATTCTGAGGCCAGAGTGCTGTTTAGGACATCTGCCATTCTATGGGTCTGCTGTGTATCTCACTTCCCATGTTGGATCGTTCTCTCCCTTTTTTATTCTATCAGCTAGTGTTTGCAGACACTAGTCTTGTTTATGTGCTCCCTTTGGCTCTTAGTCCTATCATTATGATCAATTGTGAACAGAAATTGATCACCGGGACTAGTGAGATGGCATTGGTACATGCAACCTTGATGGGATTGAATTACTCTTCATTCAGGAGCATGTTGTTCAGTTTCCATGTGTTTGCATATTTTTTGAATTTCTTAAGTTAATTTCCAGCTTCATTCCATTCTGGTCAGAAAAGATGCATGATATGATTTCAGTTTTTTGTTCTTGAGACTGGCTTTGTGGCCTAGCATGTAGTTTATCCTAGAAAAAGTTCTATGCACTGATGATAAGAATGTGTATTCTTCAGGTGTGGGATGAAATGTTCTGTAGATATCAATTAATTTCATTTGGTCCACAGTATAGATTAGCTCTGTTGTTTCTTTGTTGACTTTTTTCCTAATTGATATGTCTATTGATGAAATTAGGGTTTTGAAGTCCCCTGTTATTATTGTGCTGGTGTCTTTGTCTGCCTTTAGATCCATTAACATTTCTTTTAAATAGCCAGGCACCCTGGCATTGGTTGCATATGCATGTACTATAGTTGTATCTTCCTGTTTAATTGATCTCTTTTTTTTAAAAAATATTTATTTATTTATTTGAAAGAGTTACACAGAGAGAGGAGTGGCAGAGAGAGAGAAAGAGGTCTTCCATCCGATGGTTCACCCCCCAGTTGGCCACAGTGGCTGGAGCTGCAACAAAGCCAGGAGCCTCCTCTGGGCCCGCAATGTGGGCACAGGAGCCACCTGGGCCATCCTCCACCACCTTCCCAGGCCATAGCAGAAAGCCATATCTGAAGTGTAGCAGCTGGGCCTCGAACCGGCATCCACATAGGATGCTGGCACCTCAGGCCAGGGTGTTAACCTGCTGTGGCACAGTGCGGCCCCCAAATTGATCTCTTAATCATTACATAATGCCCTTCTTTTTCTCTATTAACAGTTTTTTTGTGTTAAAGTCTATCTTGTCTGATATTAGGATGGCTATTCCTGTTCTTTTTGCTTTCTGATAACATGGAATGTCTTTTCCCATCCTTTCACTTTGATCTGCATGTGTTTTTGTTGGTGAGGTATGTTTCTTGCAGTCAGCAAATAAATGGGTCTTTGTTTCTTAATCCATTAAGCCAGTATGTATCTTTTAATTGGAGAATTTAGGCCATTCAAGATTATTATTGATAAGTAATGACTTGGTCCTGCCATTTTTCCATAAATATCCTATTGTTTGTTTTGGATTTGCTTTGTACGTTGCTAGG